GTTTTGCTGCATTTTCTGTGATTCCTTAATTATGCGTCCAGCTTAGGACTTCACACATTGTGGGTACCTCAGAAAGTTTGACTGAATATCTTCTTCACTAATTCATATTATGTATCATTGCTCAGACCACTTTATAATACCAGGTACCTTCACTGAAGCAGAGGAAGAATTCTCTTTCTGATTTAAAAAATTACCTACTAGGTCAACAATAAGCTTGTTGCCCCTAAGAATCATTCAGATTCTGCCACTACCATTCAATTACATTTTATGTATAAAGAAATAAGAATAATTTGAAAGTCATATACTTAAATATTAACTTCAGAAATTATGGTTTCAATGAAGATAGGGTACACGGTTATGAAAACCATTACACCTGTGCACATGTGTGTGTGTTCATGCACGTATACATGTAAGTGCACATGCAGAACGCTACCAGGCACTGTGCTATGTGCTTCACACATGACACGTTATTTGATTCTCTCAACCACTCTGTGGGGTAGGTCCTATAGGCATCCTCATTTTATAGGTGAGGAAACTAAGGTGTAGAAAAAATTATTTTCCCAAGGTCATAGAGCCAGTAATTGACCTAGCTGGGCATTGAAGCAGGTCTGTTTTGTGACAATGCCAGGAAGTCCAGTGGAAAGACCTGTAAATGGCCTGCCCAGAAATAAGTGACAGTGATCTACTTTGTTAGTTTCCTCTCCTGTAAAAGAGGAGAATTGGACCCAAAGAGATCCGAAGGCCTATCAAATCCCATATTTTGTGATCATTATTCTTTTCAAGGGGAGCGCAATATCATGTCTTTTCTAAATCTCTCCTAGCCTTCCAGTTTATGTCCCACTGATTCATTGATTTAAAACCAGTGGAAAAGTTCCCATATGACACTTTGCTAAATTTAGGAAGTAGCTCTCCTCTCATCATTAAAGCCAAAGTTGGTGAGGATTTAAATTATTGAGCAATTTAGTTTTTTGAAAGATAAAATACTCATATAAAAAATTAAAGTGAGAATACCTTTATTTATGGGATTGTATATTCTTTAAAAGACAAAGCTATATCCTATTGAACTATGTTTCTTTTCCCAATGCTTTGCAGATAATAGATGTTTAATAAATGTTTGTTAAATAAAATTAACATGACAAAGTAATTTTTAAGCACCAGTTTACATAAAGTGCTGTGATTAAAGATGGATTTCTGGAGGCCGAGTACAGTGGCTCATACCTGTAATCCCAGCACTTTGGGAGACCGAGGTGGCTGGATCACGAGGTCAGGAGTTCGAGACCAGCCTGATCAACAAGGTGAAACCCTGTCTCCACTAAAATACAAAAATTAGCTGGGCATGGTGGCATGCGCTTGTAATCTCAGTTATTTGGGAGGTTGAGGCATGAGAATCGCTAGAACCCAGGAGGTGGAGGTTGCGGTGAGCTGAGATCATGCCATTGCACTCCAGCCTGGGTGACAGTGCAAGACTCCATCTCAAAAAAAACAAAAACAAAAACAAAAACAAAAATGATACATTTCTATCTAATGTCAATAACTTCTGATACTTTACAATTTAAGCTCTATCTCTCATCATTTATTTTGTTTGTTTAAGAATTACTTTATTAAGAGTGATGAAAGATAAATGAAAGTTGTCTTGCTTGTAATCCTTGATATATGACTAACATTTTAGGAGCAAGCACACATAAATGTGTAACAATCTGTTTTTTTTTTAAGGCTCTAGTCCAGTAATCACAAGACTAGGTAGGGATATAGAAGTCAAAGGGGAGTAGAGAGCTGTGCATTTCTTAGGGATTAAATAGGACCTTGAAAATGGTCAGGAAATTAGATTCTAGATAACTTTATTGATTGAATCTGTATAGTAGAAAATTCATTTTGGAGGAATCTTAAGGACAGGCATTATTGTGCAGTTTTGTGGAGCCTGTGAGTGATAGACATGAAAGGACACTTGGAAACCCTGAGAAGTGCATCACATCCTTAAAGTGCCAGTTATTTAGCAGCAGAAAAAAAGACGAAAAGAATTCAAACACCCTTATTTCCAGCTCACTTATCTTCCCAATGCCCTGCACTCATAGATTAATTCATTCACTCACTTATTCCAAAGTTATTTTACTGTGCACATACCACTTTCTAAGCAGTTTAATAGATGCTAGAGACACATGGATGAACTAAGCAAACATAGCTTGCTTCTACTGTTGTACAGTTTGCAAACTTTTGGGTTCTCTTCAGTAAATGAGTGTCATTAAAGTACAGAATTTAGTTTGGGAATACTTGTTTTGATGATGAAGGAGATGTAGATGAAAATTAATATGATTCCTTTCTATGTATTTTCACAAACTGATGATGATGTTGACAAGCGAGTGTTCATAGAGCAAGTTCATTTTTCTCTTACTTATTTTTTAGATTGATGAATGATGAACAGATTCCCATGAAGTTTCTGATAATATAGTGATGGGAGCAGAGAGGCATCTTGGAGAAATGGGCACAGTGTTATAAGGGAGTGATTTGTAAGTTTTCCCACAAAATGGAAAATCTTGAGTGATGAGTCAGGAATAAAATTCAGTCATCAATCCTTAACTGAAAATTTTCTTCCTCTGTTACTAAATCTTGTAGTTTTAAGAGAGTGTTTTTGTTGTTGTTGTTGTTAAAGTGAATCTTAGTAATGCTATAAGCTGTGAAAAAAAAAAAAAAAAACTAATAAGATAGATGCTAAATACTCATTACCAATTATTTTAACATGTTGTGATTCTTCCATCTCTACCCAGACCAGATGTTTAGACTACTTATTTAGAATGAAGATAGCTAATAAATTATGTCTCTCAATAATGTTTAAAGTGTTAGTGTTCTTCCTAAATATTATTTAATTTCAAAATAGAAGTAAAGGTAAAAACAAAAAACAATAACCAAAAAATCAAAAAGAAAACCCTGCTAATCTATAAATAGTAATATCCTGCTAGTTCTAGTAAGGAATGAATGTGTGGAGCAGGGTAAGTTTAAGTTTGTACCATTTGTGGATAAAGTTGGCCTTTTGTATCAAAATGTATTTCTATGTGCTAGAGACTTCTTTTGCCTACTTCCTTACACTGCAGTGTACACAGTTATAAAACAGGTACTCTTTAGACTTAATAATATTAATTTTGTGATATAATAATTATTTAATGGACAGACAACAAATGAAGAGAAAAAATAACCGCTATCTGGCATCATGTTTAATTAGAATTTTGACGTTAAAAAATTCTGGATACTCTTTGCATTTAAGGCATTATATGATTTTTTTTTAAAAATTAGCCTCTGATAAAAATCTGTTAAAATTGAAGTTAGACTGGCTTTGGCAAATTGATATTTATTGGATAATTGATAAATGCTTTGCTCATTAACTGGTCTTTGTTTAGCTCATTAACTTAGTCTCTTTGTTTAGCTAAAGGCAGTAATTTTCTAATATAAATACATCAGAAAAGATATATTATTTAATCCTTTGGGTTCTTTTTTCTTCCTTCTGGCCTCTTTTTCTATACTTTCTTTTTCTCTGTGTCTCCCCTATGTTTAATTTAACCCTGATTACACAAGCCCTAAATCTGGGAAAAAATATGGCCAATATGAAAAGTACTCAGAGGCAGAAATAATTAAAGGTGTGCATTACAAATGAAATCAAAAGGAATTAAGTTTATTTTTAGCTCAGACAACTGGAGGCTGAAAGTGGATTAAAAGTACTATTCAATTAAGCGGGGTGTGTGTGTGTGTGTGTATTTAGAAGGGCTTGTTCATGATTACTCAATCTACAGAACAAGAAAGTGAAGACAGATTATTACTACAGCAAATGTTACTAGTAATTAAGAAGTATTCTATTCTTTGGGGGATTTGAGAACGTCTTCCATTTCTTAGTTCTGCTGAATGTCATATTTTTTATGAGAATATATTGGAGATTAATGAGAGCAGCCAATAAGGAGAGCAAATGAAAGTTAATAGAAAACAGAAACAAGTTGGTTTTACCAGAGTCTGTAGCTGAAGAAGAGATGTTAATGCATTGAAATAACTGAGAATATTATATAGGTAAGTTAAGAGCAACCAAGGGACTTCTATGTCAAGATACCCTGTGTGTAAGTTGGTAAGCATATTGCTTAATAACTGTCTGGTTTGTACACAGTCCACAAAAATCTTGATTATTGACTGACTTACATTTTTCTTACCCTAATACACTATTTTACACACATGGCTCAAAATTGTTAATTTTATCTGTGCCCTGATTGGTTACACATACATAGAGTTTCCCTCAATATTTAACTGCCTTTCTACTTCATCCATCCTCCAGTCACCTGCTCCGAGGTTACCAAGCCGGAATGCAGCAAGAACGTCTGCAGCTGCTACAATTGGTAGAAGTGGGTTAGGCAGATGGTTGCTGAACAATGACCCATCAAGGACTATAGTTGTAGAAAGGAGAGGGGAGACAGGTATCATATTTCCTGCCTGAGATGTATACTGAGTGGTAGTAATTGCAGTGAATCCAGCTCACTGTCTCAACAGCCACTCACCTGCACCGTCTCCTCCCCTGTCTTATAACTGGACCAGCAGTTAAACAGCTGTATAGCCTTGTCTCCCTGTCTCGTTTTCCCCTGAGCTCCATCAGCAAGAGTAGCAACAGCAGCTGGAGAAGCGGCAGCCAGAGATAGGCAGGGCTGGTTCTCGCAGCCGCGCAAATCGCCTCCTCCTCAACACACACACACACACACACACACACACACACACACTGCACAGACTTCCGATATCAACGCGTCTTGACATAAATCAAGGACTAAGAGAGACTAAAGAAGAGCGTTAGTCATGGACAACAGGTATTTCATCTCTGACAAATTGTTTCCTTCAGCTGCTTACTGATTTGGATGATAAAATAATCATTTGTGATAGCTAGCTTGAGTGGGAGACTGGAGGACTGGGGGGTGGCCGCGATAGAGGAGCGGGGATGAAGTGGGAGGAGTGAGAGGTGGGGAAGGGGGACGCCAAAGATGACTTTCAGGCTCCGGAAACCTACGTCTTTCAGCCTCGGCTGTTTTTGAGTTGCAAATGATCAGAGAAGGGTGAACTGCAGGCAGCCTGTGTTGCTGCCTGGAAGTAGATTTCCATCTTTCAGACACTAGTTCCAATGGGCCGGGTGTTCTGGAAGGGGGTGGCAGTGGAGAGGAGGATGCTGTGAGCAGAGTTCTTGAAGCTCCACTCCTCTGGGGAAGCCGAGCTGTGTGGGAGCCTTCTTACTGTGCGGGAAGCGTGTGAATTGGAAAGGATCCTGAGAGCTGGCTAGTCCCAGTTCCTCTCCGGAAAAGCAGTGGCTCTCGCTTCAGAGATGCGCCCAGCTTTCGCCTGCATCACACTGCAGTAAGTTAAACTGGACATGGTTGGCAAATTGAGTGGCTTCTGGGTATGTGGTGCGGGGGAAGGGAAGCTGAGAAGAAATGGGGAGGAAAGTTAGAGAAGCATAGCTTTGAATTCTCCGTGAAATGTTAAATCGGTTCGTCTCCCTGACTCCTGTCCTAGTTATGCTATAGTAGGGGTGCTCTGTGATTTGCAGGCGGATGCCGCTTGTGTATTAGCTATGCAGAAAGTGCCCTGTCCATTGTGATTTTAGGCAACACAACTGGTAAATGTTTTCTAAATTTAATTCCAAGAGTGGTCTCCTCAAAGTTACCAATGAGATAGCAGCTTGTCTTTTCAAAAGGTAATTCATAAAGAGGTTGGCTTAGACTTTCAAATGCCCTAGTTAATTGTTACAAGTTCCAGTCCAGATTTATTCCTAATCTGTGAACTAAACAAGCAAGCAAGCAAACAAAAGTCTTTGATTTACCTTATTACATTAAAATAAAATGTGAAGTAGGTCTCTAGATAACTGCTAGGCAACAGCCTAGGCCACACTGATGATATGATAAACATTCAAATACTATTTAGTGAGTGTCACATGGAGGGTTCCCTCAATTTCTTCCTGCTGTAATAATCTCCTCCACTTGCTGAACAGTTTCTTTCTTGTGATTTCAAAGTGGAGGTTTTTACATAGATGGCTCTATACTTAGAAACCAAGCAGCATTGTGTTCACTGGCAGAAAATGAAGGCTTAAAACTTTTAAAAAACAGCTTCAACTGGTTGCTCAAATTGCAGATAACCAACTCTTTTAAAAACAGGTCAGCAAGGACCAGTCCATTGTAAAGCAAATGACCGAATAAACATGAATGCAAGCAGAATACTGAAGGTCTTTTCTAGAAAAGAGATCAGAAATAATTAATCTAAAAATGTTGGGGTACCTAACCAGGTCCTGACGCATTCACCAGATTTTTATAATGGTTGTGAGTGGTGGGGAATCCCTCAAGCAGAAAGGAGATATTACATAAAAAAAGTTAGACTTAGTTAGATGATCATTGGAGAAAACACTGTATTAGTACATTTTTCTCCAATAAAAATTATTGACAAAACAGAAATTACCTAAAAGAGAACGTAGGATTTTAATCTGGATACGTCCACAGGCTAGCATAAATTCCACAGGATAAGAAGGCTTCAAATTTTATGAAATAACAATTGTGAAAAGCAAAATAATTCTAAAATAATCTGTCCTTAGAAAAATAGGTAACTAAGGACTACTCTTATCCTATAATTTCAGTTTTAAATTGTGCTACTCTTTCTCTAATCCCCCAAATTTCATGCTTTTACCAAAAATAAAACATGTCAAGAATGTCATTGGAATTGTGTTGGCTAATTTTCTACTCATCATGAGGATCTCTAGGTATAAAGGCTTACTTAATATTTTTTGGCATTGTTGGAATACCCAATTTGTTATACGTGATCCATTCCACACACATACATAGTATCCCTGTGCATAAAGTCTACATGTGACTTTGTGAATCACTGAGTAAAATATAATTCAGGAAATATATTTGCTACAATAGTGCATACATGAGGGTGATTAAATTTTTTTTGACACCAATGAGAAAGAGAACGAAAAAGTCTATATGAAGAATAGAAGAATATGGTTGGAAGAAATTTGCAAGCAGTTCCCTAATACTCTAGAGTCAACTATTATTAACTGAAACCTGTATGTAGCTAAGGAGAAGGAAAATTAGGTTAAGATCACTGATGAAAATTTGACAAAATTTTTTAAAATATAGAAACTTATGTAGTTGGAGTTGAGTGGTCGCAATGCCTTTGCTTCATGCTTTCTTGTCCTACTGGTAAGCAAAGCTCATGTTTTGACTGAGAAGAAGGTTATCAAAATCATTTGTATAATAAAACAATTATTTAAATTTTTTTAACAATTTAAGTTAAAACCATTGGTAAGTTTTGCTGGGATAGTATCTGAACTAGTATCCTATGACTGATACTTTTTCTTGCACACTATTGAAAGAAGGGAGAGTCGTAGCCAGACAAGCCAGATGAAGATAGCTGCTGATCACGAAATCTAATTTTGTCTACTAATAATGACTGTGATGTGATGGATAGACTTGAAATGACATTTTAAGATGATCTTCTCCTGGATGCCACTTCTAGCTGCCTTCAGGAACAGAGCTGTATTTATATATGCACAATACTGTTGCAGTATCCTCTAAAGAGTAATACCTCTATCTGAGAAGCACTTGCCCAGAGCAAACTCTAGGAAAAATTGTGAAGAAGCCTATTCCTGTTGCCCCTCTCCCAGCAATAGCATTTTCTTTCTCTTGTAAAACACCAATGCAAATTCTGACCAAGTGAGTCACGTATAGTATGTCCCAATACCACAGTCAATATCTTGGGTATTTACTATGAAGTAGGTTCAACTACTTGATAGCCCTGGATTATTTCCTCATATGCTTTGTTCATCACACAATGAATGAGTAGTGGGCGGTTATTTTGAGTATGGCATTTGCACGTACTGGGTCAAGAGCTTTACATATGCCTTCTCATTTATGGTATAACAGCTACAGGAGGGAGATGGCATTTTCTCCCCTTTAGAAAAAACTCAAACTCAGAGGAAATAAACAAATTTCTGAAAGCAACATATTTAGTGAATGCTGGGTTAGAATTAACCACTCAGTGTGACTAACTCTAATTCTTAATTGCTTTGCTTCTTAAAAAAAAATTAAAATGGTACTCCATTATGGATCAGGGTGGGGTTGAGCATATTATTTTGTGGATGCCGTGGGTGGGTAGTGCTTGAGTGATCTTCTTTCTCTGATGATACCCAACCTTGGATCCACCTAAACTGAAATCCACCTGCATTGACCCCAGATCCAAACTTGGCACACTCACCATTCCAATTTCAGGCTCTGCTTTGGCTACACAAACTCTGAAAATGAACATGGGGACATTGCCAGGAAGGAAGATAATGCAGTTAATATGGGAGGAGAAAAGCTGGAAGACCTAAACACAGACGGGTATAAAAAGAAAATAAGGGAATCATATAGTGGAAGGCTGGTCCAAAAATATGTCCACATTCTTTGTCCTGAGGGACACTAAATAACAAACTCTTTGGACTGTGTGTGGGGTAGAGATCTTTAGTCACAGATAAAGTGCAGACTCAAAACATCTCTTTAAATAGTTGTAAGGTCTTATTACAAAAATTAGATTATGCTTGTCATCAGATAATCTCCTTTACATACTCCTTTTAAAAGTGGAAAAACAATGATTCAAAGAAAAGTGGGGGAGAAAGGCCAGATGCTGACTGAAGAGGTAAAAGAGTAATTGGAAATATCACTGGTTCTTGCATAATCACTTTATGAAAACGTGCCAGGAAGCAAAAGGCCATCTTTAACTGGTGAGGATAAAAACAAAATGGTTCATTTAGGTAAAATGTGAAGTGTTACAGAGACTAACATGATTACTGTCACTTGTCTTCTTATCACAGAAGACAAACACTAACAAAGAATAAAGTGAAAATGTTATGGGCGTAGAGCCAAACAATATTTTAAGATTGGTCTTTCTCAGCATGCTAAATTTAAACAGCCGAAATTCTTTTTTAAGGATTTTCTGAGTCAACAATTTGAAATGAAGGATTTGCCTTTTAACAGGGAATTTGTATTGCATTGTGAATTTGAAACACAATGTCCTCAGTCAGTTATTTTTGATTGGCAATATGCCGATCACTATAGATGCAAGGAGCACAAAAGCTGTTACCTCCAAAATCAGAGAAGAAATGGACACGCTTCATAAACTAACTTGATGCTCCTGAGTTATTGTCAGATGTGTACGTGGTGACAGGGCTTTGCAAATACATTCACATTGTTGGCCCTGATTCATTCTCTTGTCATTTGTGACACTTCAGGTTAGGACTGGGAATAGAGTTAGTTTTCAGGGTTGATTTTTGAATGTGGTGCTAAAATCAGCTCTCTTGCCCATTGGCTCTCTTCTTCTTCTAGTTTAAAAATAATGAAAGTAACTTTCATTGAGTGCTTACTACATGGCATTTGCCTTTATAAATATCTTGCATATTTAATCTTGATCATACCCTTTTGGGATAATTTTATTATTATCCTCATTCCCATTTTATAAAAGAGCAAACTGAAGGACAACAGGGTTAAGTGACTTGTCACAGTTACAAACTGGTAGGAATAGAGCCAGGGTTTGAACTCAGGCAGTCTAGCTCTGGAGACCACTCTTCTAACCAAAAGGCTCTAAATCCACTATTAACTACCACTGGCTTATTATAACCCTCCACAGTTCACACAATGTTGCACCTTCTTTGTCTCTGCTTACATTTGCCTCTTTGTAATTTACTTTTGGACACCCAAACTCCTCTGCCCTCTCTCTACGCTAATGTGTTTCATTTGATAATGTGTCTTTGTCCTTTAATCTCCTACTCTAGTATCATGACACTTTGAGGTATCTAGTTGGTTTCTGCCACAGACCCAACAGTTTTTCTATGTGGTTCCACTGAAACTTGTGCTTGCCTTTATTATTGAATATGCCACGGAGAATTGAAATAATCTGTTTTCTACATTGAGGAAGGGGTTCAAACTTATTTATCTTTGAAACTTTGGTGCTTAACACAGTGTCTAATATAATATTGGAGCTTAATGAACACTTCTGTTAATAACTGTATTATTATAGGCTCTAATTCTATCCACTGAAGGAATAGGTAGTCCCACTTCTACAATATTTAGCCTTTGCCCCCTGCCCACCAAAGACAAGAGAATTAGCTTTCAAATAAAAACTATGATGTCTGATAGCAAGTGTGTATTTTAATAAGTAGAAGTCATGATTAGCATAAAATTACTCAGAACACATTTATTACCTTCTATGGTATTATATATTTAGAATACATGGGGCAATATTTTGGAATATGACAGATAAAATATTTATTTCCAGATCACAAAATCAAAATTTTTACTCGTACGTATTTTCTGGTTTCAGGTTATTAA